AAAAGGATATCTCTGAAGATATCTCAAAACACTCAGACTGAGGATTTAATGACGGTTTTATACAGCCTCTTTCAACTGGTGTTGCAAAGAAAGGGGATCTAATTCTGTGTTCAGAGTCCCAGCTATGCAGATATTAGTAACTTCACGTCATTTAAGCGTCCTGTGCGTGATAATGGGACTATCGATACTAACTAAATTTTAAAAATCATCCATAAGAATCAGTAACTCATGGGCAGGGAATCAGACAGCTTTACAGTCGGCAGCTGATGTCTGTGCATATATGGAGATGACAGGAATGTAGGTAAAATGTCTTTTCACTCGAATCGAAGCCAGTTAGTCATTGGCACCCAAGCCTTGAATGGTCCCCATATTTGTAAATGGAGATCAGCATACAATGTCAATCAAAAGAACCCCTCGGGCCGCTACAGTCAAGGGGAAAAAGTGGGAGTTGATGCCAAGAATCTTAGCATCCCGCTAATCTGAGTCGGTATTTGAACTTCATATATGCAGCAGACATCTACCTTGTACTCATGAAGACTGCACGCCGGCAGACTTTGGGCAGCAGGCTCAAGGAACTTTCGCACATTTGAACATCATATATGAAATATCCCTTTAAGATCAAGTTTTGCAGCTCACACACTTATTGTCCGTACTACCGGAATAAGGTGTGGTAATTGTGCCGGGTTTAGCAGACTCTGTGTTATTTTTCTTAATACTAGAATTGGACACTTATTCGGGAGGTTTGTTGAGAAGTTTGAATTTTTTGAGAGTTGTGACGCAATCACTCTCCTATAGCATTTCGTAAAGATAAGGAAGAAGACTTTTCGAGCACCGGATCAATTAATACTCGACAAATCATCTTTCTCACCCTTTCAAATACCTGGAACGCGAACGTTTTCGTACACAGTACTTCGTCTCTAGAACCCAACTGCAAGACGGCACTGTCATGAAAACTTATTAAATTGAAGTTTATGGTTATCATGCCGCGATATTACAATCAGGCTTTGCAGTATCTGAACTGTAGCTGCCGCACCCCCCCCCAGTATTATTGCCTCTCCGTGACTGCTCATCAGCAAGACCGGAGAGCCTACTTATTTTGCCAGAAGCCTTCACTGGAAGCAGCTCCAGTATCTGCCAACCTTAAACACTTGAGATTGATAGCGTGGAGGCTAACGCATGAACATGTTTCCTGTATGAATTTGCATCAGTGTGCCCGACTTGGATAGTCTGGCAAATTTCTGTACATAGATTATATCCTGAAAAAGGGTGGGACAGGATATTGCCGGCGACAGTTTTGCAGGTTCTGAGAGCAAAGAATATTAAGAGTTTCAACTGCAGGGGCGTAGGCACGTCGTGAGGATAGCCGGCAAACGCTCGTTCAAACGAATAACAGTGGCATCACTGAAATGCGACCCCAATGAACACCTTACTATGCCGAAAACCTATATCACCATAATTGAGCAATCGCTTTAATCTGTCATTATTGCAATACAAAGTTTTTGTCACAGGTAGGCCTGGTCAAACCTCTCTGTATACGTCGCAGCGAAACCACCGCCAGAACGCACACGGCAATCAATAGGACCTTTTCACTGTAGTCGCGCTGTTGAATTCTTATCTTCTTTACCGGAAACCTTCAAATCAATCAGAGTAGCAGTTTCAAGAGCGTCCTATTAACACTTACCTTGTCTGTTTATATTGTTGTTGAATCTTTGTACGTTGCAGGCCCCTACGCGTTCATATGCACATTCACAAAAATAACTAGTAAGACATCAAATACATACCTTCTGACTAACACTACATTCGACATACATCCTTATGCTGTTCATGAACCTACTTGGTCACATGACTACACATGCACACCATCACCACTTGTTTACTACTGAAATGTCAAATTTTACGTGCAAAGCATCGTATGTGAATTTGTCTATCTCTCATATGCCAGGTTTGTGTTCTGACAAAGTCTTGTTCGGTGGATCGAGGAGCCTGAACGTTTATACTACACTACACTATGCTAGCGCCAGTTTCAGTTTGTAGAGACTGGGGATAAATGGACATCTTATTCAAATTGGCCATTCCCATGTTAGGTCTTCCTGACGATTTTGCGAAGAAACTATCCACTTACTCGGGCTATAAACGTTTAAGAATACTTTGGCAATGCTGAAGAACATTTGCTTTCCAAAAACAATCTTCCGTCCAAGCACAGTTGTCACGGCATATCTCTACTTTGCAGGGGAATATTTTGATGGTCTCTGCCAATATGTGGATAAAAGGTCCTAACGCGCTCATGAGAAGAGCGCATTGATTTCTACTGACAAACGTGAATATAATTCATACAGTCTAGACGCCTTGCCGCTCGTCTCACTACTTTCTCAGGATCGGCTGCTCAAATGATCTGTTAAGTAAGGATTAAAGCTTCAGCCATTCCCGAATTTCTAGGCTTTCGACGACGATCTCCACAAAAATCAGCCACGACTTCGTCATAGTTGCTAATCTGATCAAGGTATCAACGCCGAAAGAGTTCCCGTCTATAGTTAGGCGGTATTTTTTATGTAAGACGTTCAACAGTAGTCCTCGCTTACCCTTTCAAAATTTAAAAAGATTGCAGATTGAATAGGGTTTCATGCCATCACTCACACGAGGGAACAGTAAGCTGAAAATGGGAAATAATCGTCCGTAAAATGATTGCTGTGTACCGAGCAGTTAGCTTGACTGGATGTCTAGGAGGCTGGAACACTATTTCAGTATGTTTCATGGACTTTTCAAAACCTCATATATCTCTGGAGAACAGGAGAGTTAAGGAACACTAATGTGGTAGCGCCACACGGTTGTGTCGTCGAATAAAGCTGGAATGACTAAATGTCGATTAAATGTCACCTTGCGACGCCACCAGGCTCCTCGCAGCAACCTCTCATTGCCTGTGATTGATGTGATGCTATTTTACGATTTATGGCTGAAGTCGAAAGTATGCATGCTCATTGAACGCATACTGAAGCGAGTTCCGACTTACACAGGAGAGACTCACATGGACATTTTTAGCTTACTAGCCGGAAACAATCGGCCATAATAAGTTTATCGTGTAGATTTCTAAATATATTTACAACGATTTGGTTAAATTTTACCAGCTAAGGTCTGAAGTAGCTGCCCTGTGCCAACTAATTAGATATACGCTTAATCTCAGGTTTACGGGTATGTTGTCTTAGAAGCCCCATGCTGGGAGCACTTCCGTAACTTACGCCGTAATTAGCACTCATAGTCTCATAAACTGTAGGCATGGTAATATTTACAAAAAATTCCCTCTTCAATTGCAAGTTTCAGTCCGGTGGCGACTCCGAAGGTTTTTTTGAACACAGAACCTGCTTTTATTAGTTTATTGTCCGTGTGGTAGGCAGAATTGCAGTATTTACGATACAATTTAGTGCCATCGTGTGCAGAGCACCTCTTGACGAATTGCCACACATGGACGCCTTAAAGTTAGATTATTATTGAACGCAAGATTAAAATGTAGGTTTTGAAGAGGCATTCAAAGCCTCTTCATAGCAGCGTTTTTGCATAGACATACAGACTCCGCATGTGCGAGAATCGCGGCCAGAAATTCTGTGACCTTAATTTTGCAGTAGCCCGATGTGTATCCCTTTCACTTGTACCATCAGCTACCCTGTGACTTACGAGCCACTTTCCTCGTCCACAATAATTTCATGCAACTTCGCCGTTTTGGACTGTATTAGGTGATGTAAAACCTGGCTTAGGGTTGCAAATGCTAATTACAAATCATGATACTTGGGTCCCTATCAGCTATCGTATAGAGCCAGTAACGTATATGATATTGGTTCCTGTTTGCTATTTCGAAGTTCAGTATCCAGCATTTTTCTTAGTCCATGGGATTGCCACTTCAGCTGGTCTTAAGTGCAGCATTCTCGTCTCAAGCTATTCAGTGCTCATAAGGCTTCTATGCCTTCAATTTGATCCAATAAAGTATTCGCAAATTCATGGACGAACCAATTGTTCAATAAACATTCTATCGGCTATTTATATGGTCTCTTTCCTCGAAAAGTAGTGTTTACTTTTAATCGTTGGTTTCATTTAAGTGTGTTTATTTCTTTGAACCCTCTAGGAATATAACCCGTGAATATGGTATTTCTGGTGTCGTTAAAGCAAATTCTCCGGCAGAGTCGAGGCCCCGACATACGGCAATTTTCGCCGGGTTTGAGGAAGATATTGCCAACATCAAATCTGGTGAGTAATTTGATCTTCGCCCGCAGACTTGTACAATATATCTAACTGCTCTCTGAAGCAATTCCAAATCTAAGTTATAATGGTTTGGACAGTTAGACTTTATTCAAGCATATGCTTAGCGTAATTGCATAACTGTACATCGATCTTTTAGTCACATCCCTTTAACCTAAGATGTATGATCCAAAGACATAAAACGACCTCACCAACTCAGATTCCATGTTTTCCTTCTCGTAGTGTCTCCGCACACCTTTCGCTTTGCTCTATATTGCAACTTTGGGATGCTGAATTGGACTGCCTTTAGAACGTTCGAGTCGTTCGCCTGAAGTCTTATCTTATTGGTTTCTTGTTAATTTTCAGAAGTAGAAGTTTTTGCACATTAATCTTACACCCTATGTTAGCAATACTGCCTGCATGAGGCTACTAGCCGCTATGACCCCTGCCAGGGCCCGAGATGTGAGGCCCAAGGCAGCGCGGAACAAATGAATTCCGTTAGCGGTCAGGAAAGTTCATCAATCAGAACATCGTCAGTAAAAAAGTTTCTTGGCTCTGCTTGCCTGCTCACCCAGATCCATTTTACTGCTTTTTGATCCTCCTTATCAGCCAATTCCGCCTTCCTTACTAGTTTTGGCAAGCAGCGTAGATTCTATTTAATTGTTGGTATGTAACCTTTATATTCAGTTTACGGGGAACAGTGTAGCTGCCGAAAAATATCAATGAGCTCTTGTATTTATTCTCCCTCATCAAACAGAACAAGGCATGAACATTTAGCTGCAGAGAGCAATCAGAAACATAGCCAGAGCCTTGTGGTATTACGCACGAAACGATGTTCTGCATGCACCTGTCATTTTCGCGACACAGTTAGGGTAAACAATGTTTGTCAACAGTGCGTTCTCCAGCGAAGGCCTTAACTAAGCTCTAGTCCTCTAATGCTGCTTTGTTTAGACTGACGCCTATTGCTGACACGAAAAATCGTTAAGAATGTTCAGATTAAGCGTTCTAACTAGTGGGTTAGCCATACCCATAGGTTTTATGGAGGCTACGCTACACATCTTTATCTTCTTCCACTCCGATCATACACACAGTCTCCCTCCATAAAGTAAAGTCGCCTACTTTCAGAAGGCAGAATTTCTGTCCAGGGCTTTAATGCTGCTTTAAGAAAAAATGTCTACGACCTGCTATGTCATCTCTCCCAGTAACGTGATTCCTATTGAAATCAATAGACTGGTGTTAATTATTCCTTTTCATACTTTGAGGAAAAATTATGTGCTCCGACAACTTGCTTATTAATGTTTATATATGGATCTAAAAAGCCTTTACTGCAGTTCTTCTAATAAGTTAAGTTCGTAAGCATTTAAGCTGTCACTGCCTTCTACGTCTCGATGGTTTATCACTTTTATTTTCAGGTTGGTCAAAAAGCGTTCAGCCTTTTGAGTCTGTCTTCAATAACGTGGGTGCTTCCTGGGCTTTTGGGATTGAAACTGTACTGAACTATTTTGATGCCAATATCAGGCGAATGAGTCACGGAAATTCGCTCTCAGATTTTCAGGTTTTACAGGCTTTTTTGGTGAGTCGAAGTGTGTCCTGTTTTGTCCATTAATTTCGAGGAGTTTTTCACAAGTAACATCTTCCAAATGTGATTCTAATGCCGTTTGAGCCAGTTGCCTATTTTGGTCAAAATAAGTGAATTATGAATTGGAATTTCGAAAGGGCAAGCATGCTATTTATCCAAAAGTCGAACAGTACTTAACAGGGTTTTATGATGCGATGGTACTAGCAGGTCTAGCGTAAGTGAAATTAATACACACGACGACATTTTGAGAGATCTGGTTCTTTTCCGCCTCCTTCGTCCTCCTCTTTTACCTCGTAACTCTTCATAATCGTCACTGTACTAGTAAGGGTAGTTATTATCACTATCATTCTCATTGCTGTTTCCCATGTCATTGCATTTCTTCCCTTCTCATAACGCTTTTTTAATATTAAAAAGAACAACTTTATATTTGCTTTATCTAGCCATGCTGTTTGTAGGTTCGATCCTATTTGGACTGCAAGACATTATAGTGTTTAATGACATGCAAGCGTCTTGACTACTGGTTCACCTGGTTGTGTTTCAGTCCAACTGTTCTCAGTGCCCGAATTAAACAAGATATGTAAAAATGCGACAAAGTCGCTTTTATCCCAGTCCAGGAAGTCTAAGGGGCAACAGTAGCTTATGTAGGCACACTGACTTATCCCTACTCCCTGCATGTTTTCCTGCGAAAACGGTGTTTAAAAGGTTCTATGGGTGGGGAATTAGGACACGCAATGGAATATACTTTAATAAATGCTAAATGGATTTTTATTTTACTGTATTTGGATGTGTTGTTAATTTATATCTGTAGATTTTCGTAATCTGTATTATTGTTTGATTTTTTTGCGGAAAAACCTGATTATCAAATTGCAGGTTTCTTGAATTTCCCGAAAAA